AGAAAAAATACCCCTCAATACATATTGGGAACCTGACCTATTTGTTTCATTTCATACATGCATCTTGTTAGTTTGAAATAAAAATGGAAGCTGAAACATGTTGGAACTGTTTCTTTTTGTGATGTAGGAACCTACTCCTATTCTTTCTGTGTTATTTCTGCTCTGATACCATATATTTCTTTTAAAGAAGGAATGCCCAGGAACACTTGTTCTGTATTTCATTAATTGTGATATACCTGTACTTTAAAAGGAACAACAGCCTCCTTAGGCACTTGAAAGCAGAAATTTCCCCTGGCAGTAAAGAGTTTGTGGATCTGATCCAAATATAGTCATATTCAGCCTAAGCCAACTGAAATCAAGAGGATTAAGATGGCTGGAAACTGTGAACCCAATCCAATAACAATAAATTAATAACTAATTATTTGGTGCATTTTATGGCACAAAAGATCTGCTGATTCAAGCTGCTTCCTCATTATTTTTTTACATTTAAAAAAATATTTTATATTATAATACAAAATTACAAAAAAAAGTGTAAAGAATTGAAATATAAAACAAAAACATGGTGCAATATTGGGATCATAGTTAGGCACCTTTGCAGTTTAAGGCTGCATCGGTACTGCAGAAGTAATGCAGTTTGACACACTTTAACTGCCATGACTCAATGCATGAAAATCTTGGGATTTGTAGTTTGTTGTAGCCCCAGAGCTCGCTGACAGAAAAGGCTAAATATTTCACAAAACTACAAATTCCAGAATTCCATAGCACTGAGCCATGGCAGTTAAAATGATGTCAAACTGCATTATTTCAGCAGTGTAGATTAGCCCTAAGACATATGTGGAGCCAAGGTAACTATTCATTGTACAGTACATGTTGGTAACTTCCGCATCATTTCTTCTTAGTGTTCACCAATGCCTGTCAAGTGTCCTCAACTCCCCTTAATGAGAAACCGGCTTGCCATCTGTTTCTGTGTGTTCTCAGACAATGTCCCACCAAAATTGGGGACAATTCCCTCATTCTGCCTAATGGCAAGACACCTTGGTTATGGTTGCAAAGGAACAACTCATAAAATTTTATTTTCTGTCATTATTATGAATAGCTGCAACAATTCTCCATTTACTTCAGGGACGCTGCAGTCAATAGCCAGGCAGATTTTTAATCAAAAATTTGGAATAAGGAATTGCAAGGGTTTTTAATATGGTTTTACAATCCATATTTCTTTTTTGCTAAATCACTACTCTACTACGGTGGTGAGCAGAAAGTAGAATGAGAAAGTGTGGAAAATTTTGGAATTTGTAAAAGTTACCTCTTAGACTACATTTCCCAGGATTCCTCCATCAGTGGGCACACTGGTTAGGGATTTTGCACAAATAATAGTCCAAAAAGTCTCTCCCGCTCCCAAACTTTGAGTCTAGGATGGAACTGCTACAGCACACTTGATTTGTGGTAGATCAGCACCCAACTGTTTTACAGTAGTAGTAAGAAAACAACTCCTCCCTTCCCCTAACGTACATATACTACTGAAATGAGCCAGGTTTGAAGGAATGAAGAATATTACTTCCTCCCCTTCAGTTCTGGCACCCAAAATTAATTCCTTAGCTCAGAATTATGCACATGTGTCTTGCACCAGGCTCCAGTTATTAGATCTCAAGAGTTCAAATGTATAAAAGCAAGAAGGTTGTGCAAGTCCACCCCTGCTCTACTACATCTTATCAGAGTCCCAGTATTGTTACAGCTCACAATGCCAGAGAGGTCAACAAACTTTCAGTGCCTAGTCAACTTGAGACCTTATACAGAGTTGCAGCAAAAGAGATAAAGACCACTTAACATACACAGGAGTGACAAGCATTTGGAAGAGACAGTGCCAGATGGATGCTGGTATAGAAACAGAAGCACAAAAATAAATACCAGCAGAAACCTATGAACAGGCAGAGAGCACCCCATTCCTTCAACCACCGGATCCATACCTCTGAATCATGCGCAGGGACAATTTCACAACACACACCTCCAGAGCTAGTCAGTGATGACATAATCTTCTCAACAATAAAGTGATGAATTTTTGTTGCTGTTGTTAACTGCTCTCGGGTGGATCTCAATGCATGGGGACCTGTGAATAAGACCTCTCCAAGATCCCTATCTTCCAGTGCTCTGCTCAGTTCCTCTCTGATTGAGTCCAATCATCTTCTAGCATTATTGCCTTTTCCAATGATTCATGGTTTCTCATGATGTGGCCAAAGTCCGACAGCCTCAATTGGTGATCTTGGCTTCCAGGCAGAGTTTGGCTTGATTTGTTCTAGAATCCATTTGTTTGTCTTCTGGTTGTCCATAGTATCCTTAGCGCTCTTTTCCAGCACCATATCTCAAATGGGTTTATCTTCTTTCTGTCTGGCTCTCACATCTGTACACAGTGATGGGGGATACAATGGCTTGGATGAGCCTCACTTTAGTGTTCAGAGTTATACCTTTGCACTTTAGGATCTTGTCCAGTTCTTTCCTAGCTGCCTTTCCCAATCCTAGCCTTCTTCTAATTTTTTGACTGCAATCTCCATTCTGATCTAAGTTTAACCCAAGGTATGGGAACTCTTTGACTATTTTGAATTTCTCATTATCTAGGATGCATTCTTGTAGATATTCCGCGGTCATTAATTTTATTTTCTTAATCTTCAACATTAAGCCTGCCTTGGTGCTTTCCTCCTTGACCTTCTTCAGTAGATGCTCCAGGTCTTTGTTGCACTCTACTAGTAATATTGTGTCATCTGTGCATCTTAGGTTGTTAACATTTCTTCCTCTGATCTTCATTCCTCCTTCCTCTAGGTCCAAGCCTACACTACATATAATATTTTCTGCATACAGGTGGAATAAATAGGATGATAGTATGCTGCCTTGCCTGACCCCTTTGCCAATTGGGAACCATTCTGTTTCTCCCCATTGATATTTTTCCTCATATCCATTGCAGCTCCTCATATTCATATCATATCATAATGCTATCCATGGGCAGCATGACTACAGGACAAGACAATGGAAAAGCCATCCTATAATTTGCCTGAATGCAATGGAGTCATTGTAACCTGTTTTAGCTTCCTCTCCTCTTCTTAATCCACAGAATATTCCTAGATCAACTCTGGCCCTGCAGTTACTTTTGGACTGCAGTATCTATAACTATTCATAACTGGCTATACTAGCTAAGGTTGATTGTAAGCCAAAAAGATCTGGAGAATGAGATCAGCCCACCTTTGTGTAATATAAAGGCTGTAGTAAAACAGCCTCAGCCTTCAAATTATGGACTTCCCCATCCCCCTGAAGAAAAAGAAAAATGCTATAGGTATAAGGAAAACCCAAACATTCATAATGACACAAGCACAACCCACAAGTGCAGAGGACAATCAGATCAGTAGTACTGAAATAATGATACTGAGCAGGAGAATCCCATTTTCAGCCACCACCCAAACAGTGTGACTTGAGTGTTGAGAAAAGGAGACTGTGCAGAGCACTACTTTGAATTAAAGACATCTGAATCTAGCACAGCAAGACCAGAATAATCCTATACATGTTTACCAGAAGTAAACCTTATTAAATCCAACGGGACTGGGGCTATGGCAAGTGTGTATAGGGCTGCAACACAAGTAGGGTTCCCGCATGGCTCTTCCTGTTGTTGAGTAGTGGTATGTATGAGTACAGACTAAATATCCTAAAGGCACCAGATCCTATGTGATCATGGAAGCCAAACAGTGCCAGATTTGGTTAGTATATGGATGGGAGACTGCTAAAGAATACCAGGTGCTGTAGGCTTTATTTCAGAGGAAGGAACTGGCAAAACCACTTCTAGTACTCTTTGCCTAAGAAAACCCTGTGAAAATCATGGGGTCACCAGACGTCAACAGGTGACTTGAAGCCACATGCACTCACATACACACAGAGTGGTTTGAGCATTGGGCTATGACTCTGGAGACCAAGGTCCAATTCCCTGCTCAGTCATGAAACTCACTGGGTGACCTTGGGCAAGTCACATGCTCTCAGCCTAAGTGGAAGGCAATGGCAAAACTCCTCTGAACAAATCTTGCCAAGAAAACCCCATGATAGGTTCAGCTTAGGATCGCTGTAAGTCAGAAATGACTTGAAGGCACACAACAACAACAAAGCTTCCACTTCCTCCCCAATTCTCCCTTTCATAGCAGGTCTCTCTTTCTCCCCTTGCATTCTTCCACAGTACTTATGAAAAAATTAAGATGGACATTAAAAGACGCAGAGAGGGAGAACAAGTTTGCTAATTTACAACGTTAAAAGGTCATTGTGAAAGATCCTCAGCACATAATCAAATGACTGCAATCACATAATGCAGAGACAGGCAGGTCTGGAAGGTAAAATATGCAGCGTGCCAACAGGTAGGCTTAAGAGACAACCAGATGTGTGTATAGAAAAATATGCCACGTACACTGTCACAGAAAGGTAATAGCAGGTCTGCCAAGAGACAAATCCATATGAACACAAGAATTACATAACTCACATTTAGATGCAGAGGAGTGTAATGGCAGTCACAATCTCATCTATCTATATAGTTGTATAGCCAGACAAAACTGCCTTCACAAAGGAGACGATCATACCTGGAAGTCAGTGAAGTCTGTGCCCATCTCCACACTCAGACATGTCTCATCTACTTACATAAAAAAGCCCATGGTGCAGATGTGTGCACAGAGAAAGGCATATATCATATACAGAGAGGAGGTTGTCTAGCGCATGACTCTCCCTCCACAGGTTCTGTATCCACAGAGATCATAGATGGCCATCCTGCTCAAAGGAGACATGCCTATGAGGCAGATATGGACTTTGGCACACTGGGCAACAATATGCCATTGAAAAGTGCCCACTGTCATCACACATGGTGCAGAATCCTGCCCAGGCACAGCGGCCGTTTTCAAAGAGATAGTTGCGTTTGTCTGTTTCAGCATAAAAGGCTGGACAGAAAAGCTCCTGCTAAAATAAATCAATATTAAAGGTGGGATGGCACCAGCGTGGCGTAGTGGTTTGAGTGTTGGATTACAACTCTGGGGACCAGAGTTCGATTCCTGTCTTGGCCATGAAACCCACTGGGTGACGGTGGGCAAGTCACACTCTCTCAGCTTCAGGGGAAGGCAATAGCAAGCCTCCTCTGAGCAAATCTAGCCAAGAAAACCCCATGATACGTTTGCCTTAGGGTCAACATAAGTCAGAAAGGATTTGAAAGCACACAAGACACACACATATTCAAGATAGGTCTCTAAATGCCTCACACGCACCCCCCCATTCCTTTTCAGGCATAGCTGCAGCTGCTCAGACAAGACACAAAATACACACACATCCACACATCCTCCCCAGCACATGCCTACCTTCCACACTTCCACAAGCACACATATCCCTTCACACAGGCAAGAGAAAAAAGGGAGAGGCTTGTGCAATGCACATATGGCCCCTCTTCCCACACCATCCATTGCCTGTTTACGGAGATTTAAACTCTGCTGTATTCACTGGAGTGTACTCTCTCGGGTTAAAAGCTGCAGAAGACAGCGACATAGAAAAAGGCATTGGGTTCAGAATGACCAGAGGTCCTTTTTTCAGGATCTGTCCTCCATTTCACCCTGGAGGAATTCCAAGATGCCCTCCATTTTTTGAGCACAGCTAAGAAGCATGGATTAATATTTATCTGAGTGCTTTTAATTAGTAGCGTCCTCCATTTCCCTTGAGTGTCCTATATTCTGTGGTGCCTAGTCCTCCTTTGCAGTTATAACAGCTGGTCACCCTGATTGTGTTACTAGTATTCTGGAAGAAAAGAAAAATCTTGTATGCCACTATGTCAAAAGACATGTACAAAGTGATTCCAAAGAATGGCACAAAAGTAAAGCTGCTCTTCGGTATCGTGAATTCTCTTTCAAATCGCTCCGTAGATTAAAAAAACATACCCAAAGTTATGACCGACATGGCACCAATCTACCTATAATCAACGTTGTGATCAAAATGGCATCAATCCGTTGCTGACATTGTGTGCCTCCAAGTCGTTTTGGATTTACGGCAACCCTATCATGGGGGTTTTCTTGGCAAGATTTGTTCAGAGGAGGCTTGCCATTGACTATTGAATTAAAACTATTTAAAACATAACTATTTTAAAGCGCAAAGGGACAAGGGGAAGGGAGTGTTAAAGAGTGGCATTGAAGAAACCACGGCAATAGAGGTGGTGTCCAGACCCCGCCGCTGCAGAGGGATGACCAGTACAAATCTGCAACAAAAGCCAGTGCGGACAGTCCAGTTCAGCTCCAACAGGCACAGAGGGAATCTAACCCACCTATAGACAATTAATTGCACAGGTGAATCAAACACACACACACAGACACATACAAATAGATTGTGGCAGGTGATCTCATGCTTGCCCGATCACCCTCTTTGTGTGCAACAGTGTGGGGAAAAGCCACAACTTCCACACACACACACAGAGATTGACCAGATGCCCTCCTTTCCCAGGACATGTCCTCCCTTTCAGCCTTCTGTCCAGGAGGAATTCCCAAAGGTCCTCCCTTTGGTGCATCACTGAGAAGTATACATTTCTAATTATATGAGAGCATTTTGAGCTTTTATTTGGGCATATCTTCCATTTTTCCCCCCCTGGACTATCCTACATTTTGTGGGGCCTTGTCCTCCTTTGTGGTGAGGACACCTGGACAGATACACACCAAGACAAAAGGCACGCACAAAGACAGGGACACACAGCATGGAGCTGCAGTCAGGGAAAGGGGCCCAAGATGACCAGAGGTGTCCTCACCACAAAGGAGGACAAAGCACTGGGAAATGGAGGGCCTTCCAGGAAAAAAATGGAGGACACGGCCAAAGAAAATCTCAAAACGCTTCTATCGGTGGAAATCTATGCTTCTTGGCCCTGCTTGAAATGGAGGACACTCAGGGAAAAAATGGAGGACGTGACCAAATAAAAGCTTAAAAGACTCCTGTCAATGTAAAATCCATTTTTCTTAGCTCTGCAAAAAAGGAAGGACCTTCAAGGGAAAAAAAAATGTAGGGTACGGACGAATAAAAGCTCAAAACAGAAATCCGTGTTTCTGAGTTCTGTTCAAAATGTAGGACATTCGATTAAAAAATGGAGGACACACCCAAATAAAAGGTAGGCAAGGAACTCTCATCAGTGGAAATCCACACTTCTCAGCCCTGCTCAAAATGGAAGACATTCAAGGAAAAAATGTAGGGCGTGGACAAATAAAACATCAAAATACTCCTAACAACAGAAATCCGTGCTTTTGAGTCCTGCTCAAAATGGAGGGCATTCAAGAAAAATAGAGGACATGGCCAAATAAAAAGCTCAAAGCACTCATATAAATAGAAATCCATGCTTCTTAGTCCTGCTCAAAATGGAGGGCATGGTCAAATAAAAGCTCAAAACACATATCAATAGAAATCTATGCTTCTGAGTACCACTCAAAATAGAGGACATCCAACAAAAATGTAGGACACACCCACATAACAGGCAAAGAGCTGCTATCGATGGAAACCCACGCTTCTTAGCCCTACTCGAAATGGAGGACATTCAATAAAAACGTAGGGCATTACAAAATTAAAATCCATGCTTCTGAGTCCTGTTCGAAATGGAGGACATTCAAAGGGGGGGGGGAGGAAATGGAGGACATGGATGAATAAAAAGCTCACAACACTCCTATCAACAGAAAGCCACCCTCCTTAGCCATGGTCAAAAATGGAGGACATTCAAGGGGGGGAGGAAATGGAGGACATGGATGAATTAAAAGGCCACAACACTCCTATCAACAGAAAGCCATCCTCCTTAGCCATGGTCAAAAATAGAGGACATTCAAGGGGTGGGGGAAAAGATAGGAGATAGCCCACAAAAAAGCTCAAAACGCTTCCTTATCAATGTAAACGTCATGCCTGCTTTGTCCTTCTCAAAATGGGGGGGGGGGGGCTTT